ATAAAATCTTTCACATTTAGATAAACACTCCATAATTCACATTCATAATCACGATATAATTAATTACATTTATAATTTCTTATAACTTTTCTAGGAACAGTGCTAAACCATGGATTTGGATACTTACCCATGATTAAGGATGGACGAAATTTGGATAGCTTGATATACGAACTAATGATGTACAAACACATTAATTTCAAGAGTTATGTATAAAACCCTTCACATTCAGATAAACACTCTTCACAATTCACATTAATTTTGAGTTAACAATAATACATAGCAAATACAATGTATTGATTTCTTTCAGATAAATATATATCCACAAAATTTCATCAATTTCAATAACACTTAATAAACAAAATAATAATAACAAAATTAAATAACGAAAGGAATTTTTTATTTTTTTATGTGGACAGTTGTAATTCTTATTTAAATCGTATATGACACAAACTTATACTATTATGTGACATAAACAATACCATCTATTCAATCAACACTTTAATAAAAACACAATATTAAGAACCACATTAAATATCATAATACCAAACATCATCATAATATCAAACACATCAATCAAAAAGAAAGTACATTAACCCATAATTAAACCAAATTCTGATATCCTAACCATTAATACTAATATCACATTGAAAGTATCACATAACAGTACACTGTAACTATCGATTTTGGATAAATATATATCTTACAGCAAATGGTTTATTACAATGCAAATCATAAACTTTATCGTTTATATACTGATACTGAAATTTTCAACTGAAAGAGACTTTGAGCCGCTTCAATTTTTTTATTAATATTATAGTTCGGCACCTTTAAAAAATTGTCTAACAAATTGTATGGAATTCGTTGCCTAACCATCGTCCATAATTATGATTGCTCAAAGCTTGCTGTGGTCGATAACTTCACTGTCAAACCAACAATTTGGCTATAGAATGATAATAAGGCAAACACCAATATATAATTCATCCATCATTTAAGAATGCTTGAAATTTCAACAGATGAAGGGATCATCGAGGTCTGCATTGCATTGCCGAACCATAACCATGTTGTAATTAATTGCATTTATAATTTGTTATAACTTTTCTAGGAACACCGCTAAACTATGAATTTGATCAGAATTTGTATACCTTGATACAATTCCACCTGTTACTATATCGATCACTTTCAGGTTATTTTTTATAGTCGAAGTATCAGACAATAAGATTTACGAATATTTCATTGGCGCAAGTCCAAAGGAAAGGATAGTAAATATTTTGTTAAACCCATAACTTAGAAAACATTATAAGGATGTCAAAATGGTTAGATCTTCGGGATGTCAATGCATTACCCACATATTGTTAAAAGAAATAAAAAACTCGATTTGTTTGTTATAATTCATTCCCATAAAATATCATGATCTAGAAAGCACACCTTTGATATATTGCCTAAGTATTAATAAATACATAGATGATTGGGACACACAGTTGAATATCTCAAAATCACCTTATATTGAATACAACCAACAAACCTTTACATCATTAAAGCTCAAACCACAAATGTTCATGCAGGTAAAATAACTTGCACAAAAGCAACTATCACAATCCATAAACACTGAATCGGAATAACCAAATCTTATGTCATGGACTTTCCCGTTGACTTGGACGAATCGTTGACATCCACAAAGACCAACTCCGATACAATAAGATTCCATTCATAAATCACGAAATCGAACCCGATTGTGTCACCTAAAAATAGAGCCAGCAAAAACAATACTCATACAAGCCTTGTTAACATAAAACGTTCAGTCCCAAAACAAATACTCACATATCGACTGGGACAAATAGATAGCATGATAGAAAAAATAGTAAAAAAAATTAAACAAAATACAAACTATCAACGTTTAATGTTACTCAGCGTCAACAATATAGGGAAAAACTAATTGCCCATAGTATGAATATACCGATAACAAATACTCACTATTCGACCAAAACTGTAAGCCGATCGATTCATGTTATTTCATGTAGTTCATACCGATCGGCTGCAACCACAAACATACCGAATCAATAACCTCACCGAAGACTTAATAAACACAACTTGATACAGAACACGATGACCATTGTATGAACACGTCAATTTTTTTTCCTATAACCTGAAAACGAAATCAACAGAATCAACAAATTAACATCTCATGCCAGTCGATTGGCAGAATGGACGCAATATAAAAATAACTCTACAAACGAAAGAACAAACACATATCATCATCCCCTTAAAAACAAACACAATAAAACGTAATCGATCTTCATGTCAACATTGTTAATGAACAATTATCCATTCGTATAAAAATTGGTACCTAGAAACGACAACAACAAAATTTAATTAATCTTCATATTAAAATTATCAAGGAACAGACTGACCGTTCAGAAGGAATACTATTAATCAATCAAATAAATTGATCGAACAAAAACAATCATTCAATCTAACAATAACCGTTAAAATAGATAGGAGACATAGTTACAGTTTCACATTAAAATAGTTAGAATATATACTTACAGTCAAAAGAACAAATCGAAAGAACAACTCATCTGACAGTGTTAATCATACAGCGTGCCTTTATTCCATGCCGATTCATGATCTTTGACCTATAAACAACAACAAAAACATAAATATTAAAAAAAAAAACATGAAGAACAAACATATTATTGACACAAACTAACATGACCTATAAACAATTAACAAAAGCCAAACGTATTGTTAACATCAATTAACAAATTGCGATGATCCACAACTAAACATGCGCCCCTTTTATAACCCCTTATTTAGACCTTCTGAATACAATGCAATTAAATATGAATTCAATACGAAGAGAGTTTACCAATGTCAATACAATGCAACAAGTAATAACAATCCAATACACATGTATACTTGTTATTAATTAACATCTTTGAAATGTCAATGCAATGCACTTGTATTATTATTATTATTATTATTATTATTAATTATTAATTATATATGATGTAATAAATACCAACCTAGCATGTCAAGATAGAGCAATTTGACTATCCAGTGTGTCAAAATTGAGTAATTCTAGATCTTCCAAAATGTGCCACATAGTGAACAATCCGCACAGGTATTCATGGCGAACAACCAGTATGGGTATTCATGAATCTTAGAGTTAAAAATATCTCATTAAACCACACATCCAATGTGGCAAGAGAGAGCAATTCTAGAGCTAAAAAATAAACCAATTTTAGAGCTAAAAAAAAAAAAAGTGTCCTACGTGTCACTCAAATAGGTATGTTTTTACCTTTGGATTTGGAATACCAATTCAGTAATTAATATCTCTCTACAACATCACCAATAAAATTCAACCACATAGCAACCACAAATCCTATGTGTCAAAAGGGAACAATTCTATGAGTTCCAAAACGTGTTATATGGCGAACAACCCGCTGGGTATTCAACTTTATATATATATATTATTTATTTTGGAAACAAGGGAAAATAAAATTGTTGAAGCATTATGATCAAGGGCAACTTTCAACAACCGCCTTAGAGTTTCAATTAATATCAGAAGAACCTAATAAGTAATGGAAAACTATAATTGACCTCCCCTCACATTTTGCAAAAGGAGCACCACAATCACCTCTCTTCACACAAGTAATGGTAATTGGTAAATGTTAGTGATAAAGGGTATCTATGTAATTTCACAACTACCCTTGCCCTAGACATTTTTTTTTTTTTTTTTTTTTGGTGAGCACATATCATTTTACTTTATAAACAATGACAATACCTACATGGATAAGATATCTTACAATCAATCTATGCATAGTTAAAAGACTACAATTACATTTCCCCTATAATAGTTCATCTAAGTAGTTAAAGGACCACAATCACATGAGTCAAAGAAAAATATTATGACATTTCCATTTAAAATCTACCATTGATTAGCTTCGGAAAGGGGAGGAGAGTTCTATTTTGCAAAAAGATGAGGGGAGGTTATGATAAGTTTCAATACCTATGGGGTAGTAAATTTTCCGAAACTTAAGGGTGCGTTTGAATAGTTTTCAAATAATTTAAGGATTAATAATAATAAGTGGGGTGAATGCAGTACTAGCATGACCCAACCTCAATTTTTTTTTTTTAAATATTAATATATACAATTTCTGGATTGTAGCTCACCCTAACAGAAATATTAATGGACAAAAATATTAATGTACAATTAGTTTGTATTTTGACTCACCCTAACAGAAATTTCTGGATCCGCCCCTGATAATAAGCCCCCTTATGTATAATTAAATCACAGAATCCTCCTATGGTTATAGAAATTATAGGAATTCCCTATTGTTAACATTTTGATGTTAGAATATACGATAGATGGGTAATTAGGTAAAATGTTTATTAACCTATCTTGTTATTAAGTCTAATGGTCCATTAACAATAGGGGAATTGTTATAATTTATAAAATATCATGGGAAGTTCTGTTACTTGATTAAACCTCGGGGGTTGAGGAAACCCCATAATTAAATTTAAAAAGATTTTTATCCCCGTANTAATTTTTTTTTTAATAATCCAGATGCATTTTAGGAAGTGAGTATTGGGAAACTGTTTTTGAAAAATGATAATATTTTTCCAACTTTTACCATGGAAACTGAAAATTTTATATTTTGATGTTTTTGGCATCTTCTCTTCTTGTGAACCCTTCTTTATCTCCTTTGTTTCCCGAAACCTTCGCCTTACTGACATTTGAGCTTCATCGCTTCCATGGCCTTCTACTCGACCATTTATTATATCCACTTGAGTAATTATACTTATGATATGTCCAGTGTTTTATAATATTTGTGTTACGAGATTTTAAATCATGTATTCATGTGTGGTTGTATTAACTTGGTCAAGAAAGCTTTGAGGACATCTTTGTTCTGATAGTTATAAACATTCATCTCTCTGTCGTCTTATCATTTCAATTATTTATTGATTGTTTTTCTGACTCAGTTTTCCTTGGAGATGATATAGGTTTTTCAGCATCTGGACAACAGGTGTAAGGTTCACAAGGATGCCATAAACTTTTGTCAGGATATTCTTTCACGAAAATCGGTTGATTGGGAACCTGTTTTCCGTAACAGTTATTCAAAACCAATCAGTAACGTAGATCTAGTTGTGACTATTGGTGGTGATGGTACTCTTTTGCAGGCCAGTCATTTGATGGATGATTCAGTTCCTGTTCTAGGTGTGAATTCTGATCCCACACATGTTGAAGAGGTTTGTTCAATGTTGGGCTGAGCTTTAGATTTGCATTCTTGACATCAAGTTATACATGTCTTTGATTTGCAGATCATGTTTTATTATTGACATAGCTTAGTTGTGAATATTAGTTCACCATGTATTCTTTGATGTAGGTGGAAGCATTTAGTAATGAGTTTGATGCCACTAGAAGCACGGGCTATCTTTGTGCAGCAACTGTAAAAAACTTCGAACAAGTAGGTATCTTTGAAACAACCAACAGCAAGCGGCATCTTTAAAAGCAGCTTGAATGGATAGTAATTTCTAAATTACAAATTTATTTTCTGTGAAACATAAGGTGGAACCTTATTGAATTTTAGCATTTTGAAAAGACAAAATGTGATGATTGTTTAAGTTCTTTTGTGATCCTTTTGTATCACTCCCTTTTTGAAATTTTAAGGAAGTTAAAGGCTGTTGCTGGTACTTGGTAGAAGGGAGGAATCATGGTGGTTTACTGATTTACATGCCTAAGCTCTACACGCTAATGTTTTTCTTCATTCCTCAGGAAAGCATTTATTTTAGATATTGAAATTGTGTTTCTCACATTCCAAATTATCTGATTCAAACAAGTCTCTTTACATTTTATTTTATTTTATTTTTATTTTTTCGCATTTGAGTTCCACTGTTCCTGAGCTTGGATCGATGGCGTTAATGAGCCGAAAACTCGTAGTTATATGCAACAAGAGACTTGTTTCATTATTTGGCATTGTTTTCAGGTCATAGACAAGATCCTAGATGGTCAATTAGTTCCTTCTATATTATCAAGGATATCAGTCTGTGTAAATTCAGAACAGCTCCCAACATTTGCTCTTAACGACATTTTGGTTGCACACCCTTGTCCTGCCACAGTTTCTCGGTTCTCATTCAAGTAAGAAATCACCTGTAAATATTGAGTCTCTGTCGAGGGTCCTATGTTGTATTTTAGTATCACCCGTTCTTAGTATCATTCTGCATGTTTGGCAGAATTAAAAAAGATGGCCTGCCGTGCTCCCCCTTAGTGAACTGCCGATCAAGTGGTCTCAGAGTCTCAACTGCTGCTGGGTCCACAGCAGCAATGCTGTCAGCCGGTGGATTCATAATGCCTACTTTGTCTCAGGATCTCCAGTATATGGTAAGGGAGCCCATTTCACCTCCGGCAGCCTACTCTAATTTGATGCATGGATTAGTGAAATCAGATGAGTCCATGGAAGCTACATGGTTTTCTAAAGAGGGTTTTATATACATCGATGGCTCTCATATTTTCCATTCTATCCAAAATGGGGATACTATTGAATTATCGTCCAAGGCCCCTGGTTTGAAAGTTTTCTTGCCACCCCTTCTATTATTGTAGAAAGGATGGATAGAGACTGTCTTGGATAAATTTGTTTAGAAGATATCGAGAAATTTTGTCATGAGTAACAGGTAATCTGTAAATTTGAGATGAAATATTGTAAATACATGTACACTTTCGGTGGCAAGAATAAAATTCTGTTCTTTCTATTGATAACAACTACTGTAAATTTTTTTGGCTGGGTTATATATATATATACGAGCACCACAAATTGTAAGTTACAGGGATATCCTGCAATATTTAGAACCCCAATTACTGAGCTAAAATTAAGTTTAAAATCTATTATATTTTTTGGTTTGAATGATACTGAAATGTGGAGATTTCATATAATTCTATTTTCAGTAGATAATAAAATCCTGTAGTTCCTAATTGCAAAACTTAAATCAGCTTCTCAACTATACCATCCATCGGAAAACTATTATGTAGAGGCTACTAAATTCATAGTTCTGTTGCACCTTTGCTAAATGCTTTTACAAATTAAGGGACGAGGAAGAAAATTTTTACGACATGATTAAAACTATGCGCCATGGCTTGTTCATCAAACAGCAAGCGCTCAACTTCTTTCCTATAACCTGAAAAACCAAGAATTCATGAGAATTCAGAAGTATGCGGCAAGTGGCTTTAGCGGAATCGAATCCACTGTGGAACTTACGTGAACATTTGAGTGCGATTACGGGAGAGCTGAGGCCTCTTCATTGGGGAAAGTATCAAATTCCTTAATGTCATTGAGGGGTTAGCAGCACCAGCAGCAGAAGCTCCGAAAACAGAGTGACCACCAGCTCTTCTGTTCATGGCATCAACTGGAATGGCTGCTTGTTTTGCCGGTGAGCCAGTGGAGATGTCAAAGGGACCAGAATTTGAACTATTTTGTCTCGCTGGCCATACGTCTTCCCGAGGCCCTGGAGTTCCAGGAGAGAAAACCAACCAATCTGCAAAATATAAGTCAATTGGTTTTGGAGATTTTTAAGCAAGAATGGATTACTAAATTTAGTTTGGTTGCGTAAAAGCATCAAGAAACGAAAATCTTCAACTGCATTTAGACATGAAAAAAACTTAAAAAGTGCTTTTAAGATTTCACTAAGTTGGCACATAAATCATCAATTTTTTACTCCATAAAAGATAAGATTACCTTTTCGAACATGGTCTCTGCTTTCTATCATGTTAGCTGCTGGGTTTGAGAACAAATCTGGTTCATTTCTTGGGTAAAAGTTGTTTACTGGTTGGATTGCTGATCGTTTCATTGAATCATACTCACTCCTCAATTGGTCATACATTTCATCTAGTTTTCTCTTCTGTCTGGTATTAAAATGCGTTAGTTTTATCAGGATCCAAGAACCAAATATATTTAAGAAATGGATACCAAGGTCTAAAATAGTGATGTAGACTGACCTGGATTTCTCAGAAAACTTTTCCTGGAGTTCCTGCTTGTCCTTTGACAAATTCTCAATCTCTTGTTCCATCATCTGACACCTCTTGCCTATTTTTTGATATGCAGTATGTACCTGCTCCAGCTTTTCTGTGAACTTTTCTTGCATTGCCTCACATTTCTGCCGGCATTGGGTTACAATTCTATTCATCTTGAATTGCATTTCAAGTTCCTTTTGTCCCAAGTAGAACATTACACTTCTGTATGCACTCTTCATCACTAAGTTCATTAAGGAAGACGTATGGCCTAAAACATCCTTTTTTTCAAATTCCTTATAAAATTGAGAAAATATTATATTCCCCTTCTAGTTCAGTAACTCTCATAGTAACTCTCATTTCTTGTCTTTATTATTGTTATTATTTCTTAATTATAAGAACCAAATAACCTCACTTTCTTTTAAATCCAATTATGAAGGATACATATCTGCGGAGATACTCCAGCCATGGCCATCTGCAACAGAATGCATTGAGAATATAAGCAAGAAAGCAACAGGACACATAAAGGCAGCTAAACTACAAAAGGAAAAGCCAAGTTTTATGTATAAATAAGCTGTAAATAATCTACCAAGTGAAGCAATTGCTTACATTTATCCATTCATCATTTGGATTGATATCCACAGGTTTCATAAGGCTGACAAAAGGAAAATCACATTAGGGCAGTAAAATTTTAAAAAAAAAAAATTCCTATTGGAATTGCTATTGGAAGCAATAAACAACATAAGCAAGTTACCCAACTTAGAATTTTAAGAACAATGACAGGTATTTTCATTCATAGAGCCACACCCTAGTATATGACAAGGAGATCTGCAGTGCATTAACACCCAGAAATGACCTACACAGAGAGAAAATAGAGATTGGAGTTTTGGTATTCCATCTATCTACGTTTACCATTCCTACATGTCTGAGCAATGTACTTCCAAAAAATGCAAACCCCAAAAGGCATTCCCAATACTAAGCACACTAATAAAAAATTATTACCTCTTAGAGAGCACTTGATCACATATGGGACATGCTGCATCATTATTGAGGATCTTGTTGGCGTCTTCAGGGCCTAATCACACTTTTAAGAAAAACTTTATGCAAATGCACTAAATTTCCTCAATGTTTACATATGAAGGAAAATGGAATTATGAAATGTACATGACTGCAAAAACAGAATTATAAGATGCATTAGGATACACAACAGGTGACCACAAGTAGTGGAAATGGCTCGCCCTTCCAATTCTCGCCAACACGCATTGCATCTCATCTCAGCCTATGGTATCAGTCATCAGTTTCATAATATATCTGGATAACACAGCAAAAATATCTGAGAAAGATCATTAGGCAACCAAACAAGCGCATGTCTTAAGACCTGCAAACCAGTTGCTAAGTTAGTTACTTCACTTTCAGAAAAGCTCCCCAATATGCATACAAATGGAAGAAAAGTAATGCCTACAATTTCAAAATTGAAGAGAAATTTTAGAAAACAAATCATAAAGACCTCTGAAATTTTACGACATTTCTTCAAAATTGTAAAAGATATTCTCAAAATGTTTCATTTTCACCCCTAAAAGATTTCAGGAAACACTATTTTCAAAACGTTGATATATATTACTCCTAACTGAAGCTCTTCTAGTCTTATGTTTCAAGCAAGAAACTTACAAAATTATCCTTTATCCTAAGCACCAAGATACAGAAAATGCAGACATTAATCACTAAAGCTCACCTTAACATATATGTAAAAGGTTATATCATTAACTTTCAACATATTGATGTCATGATAAGTTTTTCAATAATGCAGTTAATCCCGGTCTCTTAACTACACTTATTCTCTCGAGCTTGACAATCTGCGCCTTATTTAAAATTAGAATTTTTAACTCCAAATTAACACAATTCATTGAGTAAAACGTAATAAAATCATAATTTAGGGAAAAAAAGAAAAATGACTACCATTACTAAACCAATCAAGTACTAGCTATTTTCAGTTGATGACAAATTCAATTTTAGTTGTCCAATAATCACCAGAATATATTCAAAATACCAGAATTCTAAGAATATCCTCAGATCAAAACAAACAAAAACAATATTTACAAAAATGACGAAATTGCCTCGTTCTGGCGCGGAGTGCCAAACACTCTCTCAAAGTCAAATTCCTTCCAGATTATCATTTTCGCGGGCCCCAAGCGGTGAAAAACCAACTCTCAGAAAACAATAACTATTTTATTTCCGAAATTTTCTCGGCAACCAAACATAAGAAAATTTGCAGTCAAATTAAAGTTTAACCTTCACAACTTCCACTTTTCGCGCTCTGCCCCTTGATCGATTCTCAAATAAATTCGCTTTACACAGAAAGACAAATAAAATGAGAAAAAATTGAAAAACAATTAAAAATAAGATTGGAGAATATCGAGGAAAATCAAACTTAATTGAATAGCATGCAAGAGAAAGAACAAAGAAAATATATGTATGTCAACATTGAAGCTATGAATTACCTTTCAAGATGATTTGTACAGAAATTTGTAGAGAGATGTGAAACCCTAGATCGATTGATCGAACTTGAATTTGAGCGGGAAATGTTCTTGATGATTTTATATCTCTTCTATTCAAAAGAGAAAATTGAATTTTGTTTAATAAGGCACTGTGACATGTCACTACTTGTCATTATAACTTTATAAGTACTACATTGTAAAATTTGAAATAAAAAAAGAAATTTAAAATTTGACTATTACATTAAAATTAGGACTTTATATTTTCAGGAACGCTACATATACAAAATCAAGTATATAAAAGACATGACATTATTATTTAATTGACAAATCATTTATGAGATAAATGTATTTACATTTTCACTATCTCAATCACGGCATGCCACATCATTTTGTATATAAGTTTTATGAGAATCGTATTAATATTATAGTATACTATATAACTACTAAAATGACGGAATGACATTTTGAACGAAACCCCCTTTGTTTTTTATTTAAGCATTAAAACTTAACTGTGAAAAGACAATCTTGTCAATTCGCCTCACATATATAACATTTCAAAGATAGAAAACCTAATATAACATTATGAATCGACAAAATTACCCTTTCATGGTTAATTTTTATTGTCCTACTTTGGAAAATAGGATTATGTTAGGTGTTTTCAAAGTATGAGGGAGGGAGGAATGTTCTTTTACGATAGATTGGGGGTAAAGATGTCATTAAACCTAATAAAATAAAATTCTATTGGATAGCTATAGACGTCAAAATCTACGGTTACGGAATGGAGGACGAATCCTGTGAGGTTGAGGCCACTGGTGATCTGCTGCACCTGCACACACACAAGGAACCAACGTGAAGCGAACGGAAAACACCGAGGTGGTGTTTGTTGTAGGCACTCTGACGCTCAAGTCAATAAGGATAATGAAGGCTTTTTAGTGAGGGTCAAGGGAAAGAAAGGGTTACTAGCAGCTTAGTAGGGAACTAAGACCACGGAGACGAAATATAGCTATCAAGAGTGAGAACTAAAGGGATGGAAGGTGTAATGTTGAATGCCTAAACAGTGGGGTGACCCCTGTTTATATAGTAGTTGTGGGATGTTCATATCCCAGTAGGATTCTGAATCCACATAAGAGGAGGTCTAGTGAATAAGGAAAACCCTGATTCACTTGCCTCATTAGCAGCAAGAGTCCTAATTCATCCAAGATACAAAATCTTAGATGGATTAGGATAGAACTGAATAGGAAGAGTCTTACTTACCTTATTTCGGAGGCCTCACCTTTGGTGGTCTGTTGAAAAGGCCCATTCCAAAAGGATGCTAGATTTGGGCCCAAGTCACGGAATTCGGCGTTGGCCCAACCAAAGTTGGATTGTGTTCTTGGGCCTTTGCGGTAGGAGATGTAGGCTTGGGCCTGATGGAGGTCTAGGTGATTTTTGACCCCCACAGTTAGCCCCCTCCTCTCTCTCTCTCTCTCTCTCTATAAGCTAAAAAGTATTTAGCTTGGAGAGTAGTTGGTTCAGTAAGAGATTAATTGTGCTGATAGGCGATTTACCACGGCGAGCGAGTGCTTTCTTGACTGAGCGGATGTGTTGCATCTTGGTGAGACTCAAAATGCTTCCACGGGTTGTACACCTGCACTCTTGTGCAATTGATTCCATCTGGTCGATTGAGTCGAATGTTAGGATTTGAGATGCGAATCTTGGGGTCGTGTCCACTCGACTCACCTAGCCAATTGTTGGAATAGGTGCCCTAGAGCCAATCAATTATTATAGAATTGACTTTTTATAATAATGTTTATTAATCAATAAAATGCATTTTTTACTATATCATGTAAATCATAGTTGTATGTATTGATATATGTCCTTAGGATGGTAGAATCGTGACAAGGGTATCAAGTGTTTCAAATCTTGATAGTGAGAACCCTATGATCACATATGGTGGTCATTCTAGAAATGTCCGTAGCCCTAGTATTATTCTAATCAAGGATACAGATAATACGATAAGACTATCATAGTGTTGAACGATCTTGTCAAAAGGCAATGACTGATCTCACTTGTCAAGGTTGTTTGCCGACAATCTGGTGCAACACATGGGTACTTGCTGTAAGCAAGTTCACTGGACTGACCCACTAGTCGATTTCATATAGATGGTAACCCTAGTGTCTATGAAATAAATCCTCTAACGAATGGTGGTGCATGTGATCCTTAGACTTGAGATCACCGGAGCGCCTTGTGCACCGATTGGTGTAGTTTGACACTAGCCTAACGTAGTTATATTTGGAGCTATCAATACGGTAGTGATTGGCTACATCAAGGAGTGTATTAAGACTATGGTGGATTGACAGAGGATTCATCACTCCTGGGTACGGGAGAAGTTATCTCATGGCACAATTCAATTAATGACAATGACACTAAATCTGTGATCACAGTGGGATTGAGTTGTTGCTTAATCTAATTTATTATTCCGATCATTGGTCAAGTAACTGAATACAAAGATATCGAGGATAACTGAGGTTAACACTATTTCTATACCTCAGTCTCGATGAGATAACAAATGATGAAAAGATTTGATTGCACAGTAACCATATCGTTGATAGGTAGCTATTTCGCTGAATCTGAATCTATCGGATGGCCATGATGCCTTGCTAGGGACCAACCTTGGTTTGTGTGTAGTGAGACGATTAATTGGTGTTAATCGCGATACTACTCACTGCCAGTATGATGAGGAGCCTACAAATTACACACATAGAAGATAATTTAAAAACCAGTTTGTGCAAGGGGCATTTTCGTCTTTTAGGATGAAAGGGTATTTTGCTAATCTTACAGTGCAATTAAATTTGCTGAGGTTGTTGCCTATATTTAATTTAATGTTAAAATTAAATAAGCGAGATTATATTTAAATATATGCATACATATATTTAAGGAAAATAATACAGCCACCGACGGTAGTGCATCAAATTTGTGTACCGAATGATGTGGTAAAATCCTGACCGTTGATTAATTTTAACTTAATATTAATCAACGGTCAGGATTTTGTCACGTCATTCGGTGCAATACCGTCGGTGGCTGTAGCATTACTCTATATTTAAATGAATTATTATTATTAATTAAATATTAATATACTTCATAAATATATTAATTAACTTTAATTATAATAATAATTAATTTAAAATAAAATACCTCAAGAGGGGTGTTTGGATACAAAGGTTGAAGCTCATGCATATTCCTCATTGGAATAGGGCTTTGACAAATGCACTATATAAGTGTATGTGTGTTAAAGAATGAATAAGACTTTCATTCAATGAAAAGGAGAGAAAAAGAGGCAGCCCTTTTTCTCTACCCCTCCATGTTTTGCCTTGCCTTTTGAATCAAAGTTCTCTTTGATTTTCAAGTTGATTCTTGAAGCCAATAGAGGATCTAGCAAATCCCTCTTTGGTTCTTCGGATTGTCTTTGTGTGGATCACCGTTCATTCGATCTTATTTTGGATCGGTAGGGAAATAGATTCAGAGACTTTTGAAGAAGCCTCCAAACGTGCATAAGATCTCTGATCCTTGTCTGGATTAATGTTATATTTGTTCTTTTCAATTTAAGCATATATATATATATATATGAGACCCTGATCTTGGGTTATTCAGAGTAATCAATGGGAAATATTTTTGTTTTCCGCTGTGTTTACTCACCGATTTACTTACAGTGGTATCAGAGCCTAGGGCCTTGATTGTATATATTTTAATAGTATTTTGATTGATTAACTTAATTGATTGTTGGATATTGCATGTTTGGTTTATTAATCTGTCAATGTT